CACTGGTTTTTTTATACCAGTCTCGGTTTTTGATTACCTGGTGAACCTAGTTTCGGTACAGCAATTTCAATTTGGGATAGTAATTCGGGTTTTTGGATAGCAGTCGTGGTTTTGGGATAGCAATGGTGGTTGTTTTGAGATGGTAATCATGCTGGTTCATGATTACCAAACCTGGTTTTTGGATTGGTAATTTTGTGGTTTGTGGTTTTTACATAGGAAATGAATTGTGTGTACGATTGTGTAGGATATCATTGTGTATGATTCGCTGTGAGATTCCATTCTGCAGTTTATCGCTAAATTTTCCGATTCTTTCATCGTTAAATCGTTAAATTAACGGTGTTTCGTTAAATTCTCGTAGACGTCGTTACCTTTATCGTGTTCATAGCGCTTAATTAGCGATTGTGCCGTTTAATTAACGCATCCAATGTGTAATCAACAGCAACTCTTAATGGATTCATCGTTAATTTGGGAAAATTTAGCGTTAATTTACGGAAGTTTGTTTATTCGGTGTGTTTGCGTTAAAATTTGGCCGATTGCCCACTAAAAGTTTTCGCTTTAAGACGCCGAAGCCGAAAAAATCCGCCGAAAATGTTGGCCAGACGAGTCGCCACACTTCTGGCGTCCACAGAACAACGACTCGTGCTGCAGCGCTATAGCGTCAGACTAGCGAGCACTAAAGCCACCACAACAACGGCCGCGCCAACTGAGAACAAGGTATTAACTTGACGGGAATTCGGCGGGAAAAGCATTTTCGGGCGGGAATTTGGGTAATTTTAGCGGGAAATCTGGCGGAAATCCAGGGAATTTTGGCGGGAATTGAAGCCGTCGCGGTGATAGAATTCTACCCATCTATTCAGCCGCACATTACAGCGCCCCACATATTATGGGTTAAATTACTGCTGGCTAATTGCCAAAAACAGTGAATTTCGCTTCAGGACGCAGCCAACGAAAAGCCAAAACCTCCACACATTCCACACGCCACCAAAGAGAGTTTCATTCGTGATATGGATGCGAGCCGTGCGAAAATGGAGCACAATGCTGGTGAGTGAGTTACAGCCAAATACCCGCGCCGCAGCCAAATACCCGTGCGACAGCCAAATACCCGCGCCGCAGCCAAATATCAGCACCCTACAATACGCGCCGGCTTGTCAAGGCTCTCGTCAACCAGAAAATACTGTAACTTTTGGCGGGAAACTAGCGAATTTGGCGGGAAATGGCGAATTTAGCGGGAAACGGGTAAATTTTGTTAGAAATTGGGCAGTTTATTAGCTAGCAAGATACTTACCCAAACTGAATGGAATTTATTTGATTCATTCGAACGAAAAGTCACAAATATACATAAGCAGTTGATTTTCTGCAGAAAATTTTCCATTTTTTCCCAATTTTTCAGTTTTGCACGAAATATTTTTTTAGTTTTCCACTGAGAATGGGGAAATTCAAAGCGAAAAAAAGGACAGAAAAATGTCTTCAAGACAGAATTGACGGAATTACATTTGACATCTGTCAAAATTTGTCAGAATTTTTGCAAATTGACCGATGTCACATGACAAAATGTGCCCCGTCGTACCAGGCAGGCGCCGTTGTCAGATGCAATTCAATCAGAAATTTGAGTTGTTTACAATATAAATGATTTTTAAAAAAAAGTTTTAAAAAAAAACTCATTCCAAAGCACTTTTCAATGTGAAAAATTTTGAAAAACAGTAAAAAAATTTGAAATGGAAAATTTTTACGGAATATTTGGTGATTCGTATAGTGCAGATAGGAATTAGAGGCGTGTCCTTGAGCTGGAGAGCTTAAATATTTGTGAATGGCCTGAAAAATCATTCAATTGAGTGGTACCAACTGAGGTGGTGGAATGACTGCGACGGAACGAAATTCATTCCGTAGCAGGCAGTCAGGCGCTTGATTTTGTTTTGTTTTTTGTTCTTAGAAGCGAACTTGTTTGATTTAAGGTTACAATTTCAGGTTAATTTGAAAATTTGAACTTGTAATTTCAGGTTTTTTTTGAATTTTGAAAAATTTTTTTTGGAAATATTCGGAATTTTTTCCAAAATTGTTGCAGAAAATGGTCTGAAGCCAACGCCGATGCAACGGCACTTCCTGGTACTGACTCGACTCTATCATCGACGTGACGAAATACCTGAATATGTCGCGTAGGTTATTGTTATGGTTAATTTCAGGTTTCAGATTTCAGGTTCACAATTTGAATTGTTGAAAAATGAAAAAATTAAATTCAGGTTTGGTACCATGATGCGTATGCACAATCGTATGCGAGTCGTGTTCATATTTGTGGGTGTGCTCATCTTCTACACTTTCTTTTTGTGCTTTGAAAAAGCGATGGCCTTTAAAGTCGGCAAAGATAAAGCCGAAGGACGCAATGTGAATCTGACGGAACGGATTAGATCCGGTACCCCAGCAGCCTGAAATACCCCCCCTCCGAATTTTTTTTAATTTCAGGTTTCGGGTTTCAATTAGGATTTGCAATTTTTAATTTGTAAGTTTTTCGCGGCGTTCACCCTCTAATGACTGTGTTGATGTTGTGGTACCAATAATAAGAAAAATAACTGTAATAATAATAATTTCAGTTCACATTATAATAAAAACCTCATTTTTTTAAGAAACAGTGTGTAATTTTTGGAATATTTTTCAAATTTTTTCAATTTCAGAAAAATTTCTGTCTGGGATTTTTCAATTTTTNTCATTTTTTAAGAAACAGTGTATAATTTTTGGAATTTTTAAAAAAATTTTTTCAATTTGAAAAAATTTCTGTCTGTGATTTTGAAATTTTTTATCTCTGCGTCTCTAATTTTCTCGTTGCTTTTTTTGTTCACCAAATTTTTTTGTCAAATCATTTTTTAAATGATCGTATCGAAATTAATTAATTAAATTAATTAATTAATGTTTATTTGTTGGTGATTTTTAATTTATTGTCGTTTGTATTTGCCATATTATTCATCTGAAGATTGTACGTTGCGTGTGTGTGCCTTGTTGGAATTTTTATTTTTATGGAAATTTTTATTTTCGTGAAAATTTTCCATTTTATGAAAATTTTTGGAAAATTCGTGAAAAATATTTTGGAACAGTGAAATGTGGAAAAAATGTGAAATTGAATTGTGGAAAATTAAAAATTTAATAAAAATATTCCCAAACTGTAATCATTGGCTTTGTTGAATTTTAAGAAATGGTTCTATCGATGGCAAGCGATCTGCCAGCTTGTCCTATTTATTATTATTTATTATTGTATATTGTTATTATTTATTATTGTAATTATTTATTATTATCAGGTCAAAGGTCAAGTTAGCGGCTAATTTCAGGTTTTTCAGGTNTAATTATTTATTATTATCAGGTCAAAGGTCAAGTTAGCGGCTAATTTCAGGTTTTTCAGGTCTCTTTGGTGGAAAATTTTTTCATTCAGTTGAAATTTTTCCACTCGCAACAGCCACACAGCCACGAAGATGAGTGTACACGCCACAGAGAGCAGCAGCACTAAAGAGAAATATACACCGGTAAGTTGGTGGTGATGGTGCCAAAAAAATTGGATCGCTTCCAAAATTTTAGCCCCGCCCACTACAGTACCCACTCTAACAATTACAGTAACCGTTTGACTGTTCTACCGTAACGGAGTATACTGTAATGTAACGGCTTACAGTATCCGGCGATTCCGGCCGATATTGGCTACGCGTGCGGAAAGAGTACGACGGGGGCGGCCAGAAATGGGATTTGGCAAAGTGCCATCGCCAATCCGCCCGTCATTCTCGGGTTGGGCTTGACGGGCGCGGCGCTTTTGGGCATGTTCCGCAAATCGTTGATGGGCGATAAATTTGGCGCCCAGAAATATATGAGGTCGGTTTTGGTTTATTATTTATTATTATTAATTATTATTT